AGAGATTATGTAAAGGTGCAAATTTCCAATGATGAATGTCATTATATTGTATACCTAAAATGTACCAATAAAATTAAATTTAAAAAAAAAGACATATCCTAGCCTCACAGAAATCCTGCACATGGTTTCCATTTCTTCACCATTCGCCTTGTTCTCCATTGGTCCAGACCTAGAACAATGACTGGAACAAAGCAGGTCTCAACTATGCTTGTTTAATAAATGAATGAAGGAATGAATGTTGATCTAATGTTCCTTCAGCAACCTGTACACTCATAATGACACATATAAATATCTACAGAATACTAGCAAAAATGGTAGGCAAATTTGCAAATTTTTTAAGGCTTTAATGTCTTCCACACCTTGAACCTCCTCTCCCCAAACAGCTAGTAATTCATTAAAATTATTCAGTTTGTTCCTCAGTCTGGGACAAAACCATTAAGGGGTAAGAATGAGAACAATCTCCATAGAAACAGCCTTTGGGCTTAAAGTTTCACTAGAATTCCCAGGTCCTGAGATCATTCCCCCTTTGTTCCCCAAATAAGGTCCCAGGTGGTTCAAGCAGTGTCTTCTGAGGCTATTAAAATGCCTCTGATGTTAGTACTGGAGTGTTCTCTGCTATTCTATTTGGTATAGTTACAAATATAATTACTACTATTATCTATCCCCACACTGACTCCCACTTTTGATTTCTCCTTTATCCCTTATGGCCCATGTTGACTTTATGGTGCCTTTTGCCAACTCTGGAACTGCCACCAATACTCACTCTGATATGGGAGTTCTCTCTCACTACAAGTAGTATATTAAAGTTATTTTATTTGACTTTCAAGAGGACATCAATCTCTAATAGCCTGTTCTCTTTTAAAGGAGTGTGAGACCAACTAGCCTAGGACTGGGTTCGAGACATTTCAGATATCTCTAGTGGCAAAAGTAGTAGAAATAGACTCTGTTGTGAGATCCAGGAAACTCTTCTAACATGCTGATTGCGAGTACAGTGACTGACACCAGCTCTTCCTGGCTCCCTTTCCACAATTCTTCTTACCTTACCATGTTAATGTCAATAACAACAAAGATTACATCAACTAACATTTTTTTTTTGGTACCGGGAATCAAACTCGGGTCCTTCTGCTTGCACAGCAGGCAGCGAAACCACTGAGCTAAATCCCCGGCCCTCATCAACTAACATTTAATGAGCACTTGCTATGTGCCAGGTACTGTTCTAAGTACTTTATATATATTATCTTATACATAATTTGGGGCAAAGGAATACATTTTAGGCAATTTAAACACCACGGAATGGGTGAATTTAGGAACAGGATCTGAAGGCACTATTAGAATTTTATTCAGATACACCATCAAGATATGAAAGAAGGTGAGAACAGTACCTGGTCAACAAAACATGTGGATGTGAATGAATAAGATGGCAAAAATTAGATCAAAGAGCCAAAAGTAGGGAGAATTAGCCCATAAAGATTTGAGAATGATGAAATCAAAAGTGGTCAAAAGGGCCAGGGATTTAGCTCAGTGGTTTCACTGCCTGCTGCGCAAGCGCAAGGACCCAAGTTCGATCCCCGGTACCAAAAAAAAAAAAAAGTGGTCAAAATAAGTTGACATTACCAAAAGAAGCTGAATGGACTTCCTTCCAAGTTACAGAAGTAACATTAATGTTTTCTAAATTGATATAGCAAATAGACTAGTTCCTGGGGCCACACTCACTAAAAAACACTTCAGGCTCTTTTAATGATCCTAATGGTATCTCTAAAGGGTTACCCCTTATCTGTTAAATATTTGAAAAAAGCATTGTTCTGGAATAGCCACAGCAAACCACTCTGAAAGCTCTATGTACAGTGCAAGCCACAGAGTAATGCTTCATCCCACCAGCAACTGTCAATGAGGTGGTCTGCTTTAGCCTGGCTGCAGAAACAGATGGGCTCAGAGCCAGGCACATTAGGAGATTCCTGATGATCAGCCAAAGGGAGCCCATGAAGAGATCCCAAGTGACTATGTTATTAAGTCCAACTTGGTAAAGGCAGGAGAGTCAGGCAATTGATACGTGCTGAGCAGTCAGGCCAGGCTTGATTGAAAACACAAAACCAAAGCCTAGCCTAGGAGAAATTTCCATCTTCTCAAAATATCCAAGCTCCATCAATTATCCCCTTTTTAGCCTTTGTCTTCAAGCACTTTGCTGGCTGCTTCTCTTCATTACAAACTGAAATTTCTGCTATCTTTAAAACTGATGAGCAATAACAACAGAGTAATTTTCCTTTCATGCTTTCCTGCTTGTCTTCTCCACTGTGGGAATGAGTTGTTTATACTTCCTGGCTCCACATCTTCTCCTCTCGCTTACCTCTCAAGACACTGCCCTCTGCTTTCTTACCACTACCATTCATGAAACATTCCCAGCAAGGTCACCAGTGACTTCCTGATCACCATCTTCAGTGGATCTATCTCCTTTGGCATCTTACTTGTCCTTCCAGTGCCATCTACCTAGACATTTCTTTCCTTCTAGAAATTCTTTAGCTCCTTGGCTTCTCTAACTTCTGCCTGATCCTTCACTGTTGGAGTTTCCTGGCTCCAAACTTGGGCACTGCTTTTCATATTATAGTCTCTGTCATGGCTTCAATTACTACCCATTAATATCACTCAAATCTCTACATTCTGCCCTGGCTACGTTCTCTAAGCATCCCACTAAACATCTCTCGGGATGCCCATGGACACTTCAACGTAACCAAAACCATTCATAATCTCACCTCCAGACTTGCTCATTCTTCATGGATTTCTTTGTCAAAACTAATCATCCTGTTGTTTCTGCCAGAAACAAGGGAATCATCTTTTATTCTTCTTTCTTCCTATCCACCTGCCATCCAAGCTGCCTCACCCTTTGTCTTCTCCTGGTGAGAACCCCTCAACTGAGGTCCACCCTCAAATCCACCTCCACAACGGCCACCAGGGTAATTATCTAAACCCAGACTATAAGCATGTCAGTCCCCGGCTCCCAGTGACAGCCTTGCCCCTCGAAGTTCTCTCCTCTCTGCTATAACCACCCTGTGCCCCATGGAAATCTATCCATTTGGGCTTTGGCAAGTAGTCGGAGGGATTTGGCTTTGACCTAAGAGGATACAGGAGTCATTCTACAGGTTCATACACCAGGTGTGTTATGACAGCGCACACGGTGGGGTCTAGAAGTGAAAGACATAAACAGCCTATCACAACTAGGGTAAAAGGATCTTGACTGGTCTTCCCTTTTTTTTTTTTTTTTGGTACCAGGGATCGAACTTGGGTCCTTGCACTTGCAAAGCAGGCACTGGAACCACTGAGCTAAATCCCCGGCCCCTGACTGGTCTTCCAAGGTGAGAAGAGAGAAACAGGTGACCCTGTGGCCCAGGTGTGGAAGGGTAAATAAGCTTAGGAATGGGGAAATCTAGATGGAAATATAAGGAAATGCATGAGAAAAGTACAGTTATCCCAAGCCACTGTTGACAAAGCAAACAATCCACAAGAAGTATGGAGACTTTAAAACCCAGGACCCCATGAACACAGCCCAGGTCAACACACGCACAACTCCACAGAACAAGTGAGGGAGATACATGCTCAGGAAAGCTATCTTTTATAAAAGGGACAGAGGACACGGACGCCTAGAAGAGGGGGGTCTACAGACCACAGCGGACTTTGTAACAACATGAAGGCCACAGAAAGTTAACTACACTTAGGAGCGGCACCAGCTGGCCTCTTAAAGGTGGGCCTTGGAATAGAGGAACCAGCAGCGTTCATTCATTGGGCTGACTCCAAAAAAAGGCTCCTTAAATTATTTTATTTACTCCCCACAAGGGAAGCTGTTAGGAAGATTCTCACTACCAAAAATGTCTTTGACAGCAGTCAACTAAGGGGTTCAGCTGTAATAACGGTTCCCACGTGTTGTTCTAGATCTAATGAACTGTATGCAGAAACCACCAGAACCAGATGCCCATTTCAAAAACGTTCTCCAAAACGTTGCCAGGATTGAAAACAGTTGACCCGTCAGAGTCGGTCCTCCTCAGGAGACACCCACACAGAAATCCCCTGGGCCGGTGCGAGAAGCCCCCTGACTCGGTTACACTGCTTGCCCGCGGTGGGTCACACTGGCTGCGGTTAGACCGGACTGGGACCAGCGAGGTGGCTGACGCGGGGGACCCGAGCAGCAGGTCCACAGGCCTGGGGCGCCTTTGTACCCACTCCCCAGCGAGCACCCGCAGACTTGGCCCACTTGGGGACCGGGCCGGGTTCGGGTCCCGTGGGGGAGGGGAGGAGGCCGCGTGGGGATTGGCCGGACCGCGGTGGGCAGCTCCGACCGAGAACAAAAGCGAGCGGGCGGCGGGCTTCGCAGAGTCGGCGTGAGGTTCGGAGTGGGGGACGCGCTCGCCGGCGCGCGCGGTTTCTCCGCGAACGGTGGCCGTGCACCTAGGAATTAACCGGCCGGCGCGGGCGGGAGGGAGCGCGAGCGGGCGGGCGGGGGTGCTGAGCGCGCGCGAGAACAATACTAAGATCGTGTTTGTGGTCGCTGCCCGAGGAGGAATTCGGAGGAGCTCGAGGCGGGCGCCCGGGAGCCCGGGAGAGAGGCCGGCGGCGGCGGCATGAGGCAAGGGACACGGCGCCTGTGAGCAGCGCGGCGACTCCCCTCCCCCGGCCGGCGGCAACTCGCGGCCGCGGCGCCCCCCCGCCCACTTCGCTCGTCGGAGCGGCCGCGGAGGCCCGCGGTGGGGGGCGGCCGCCGGCTTCGCAGCGGCGACCGAGGGTGACCGGGCCGGGGAACGGCCGGAATGGCGCGTCCGCGGCCCCGCGAGTACAAGGCGGGCGACTTGGTCTTCGCCAAGATGAAGGGCTACCCACACTGGCCGGCGCGGGTGAGTACGCGGCAGCGCGCCGCCGCCCACCATCTTCCCTCCATGATGGCGCGCGCCCCTGCCCACTGCCGCGACCGGGACGTCGGGGATGGCGGCCCGGCGCGGTGCCCGTGTCGCGGAGGCCTCGCCCTCTACGGCTGGGGGCCGGCTCCGGCGCCCATAGTGCCCCGGGGTCCCTACGCCCCGCGTCCTTGACCCCGACCCCGGGTAGCCCGAGCTGCCGCTGTCACTGCCTCGAGGTCCGGCCAGCCCGGTGCCTCCTCACCTCCATATTGCTTTCAGGTCGGCGCCCAACCCGGCGCCCGGCCTCCCCTGGTCCCTCGTGGCGCTGCCTCCCGCCGGCCAGCCTGTCGCTGGCTTCTCTAGAAAGCATCTGCTCGGAATGCACAGCGCGAAACGTTGTCGTTAGGCCCGAGGGGCGAGGAAGGGCCAAGGCGCTACCGTGTGTGCCCTGTGTTGTAAAATTTTATTTTAGGTTTGGGATATTTGGCAGTTGAGTATTTGAATGAAGAAATACAATGGAAAGGATGGCCAAGGCATGTCGAAGGCTGTATTGGTCTCTTGAGGAACAGAAATAGGCAAAAGTAGGATTGACATAATCAAGAGCTAGCTCAAAGATGTATTGTAGTTTAGTGAAGATAGCAAGTCCAAGGGGGAAAAATACACCCATTCACAAAAGGAAGTGACATCATGGGTGGCCACACTGAAATGTAGTGAAGTTGAAGTAATGGATGGGCATAATCACTTGTTTTAATACTTGGTTTGGCATGATTGTAAGAAAACATTAGGCTAGGAATTGGGGGATCTGGTGTCTGATCCAGGCTGTTATGGACTTATCATTTCAGCTGCCTACATATCCATTTCTGCAATATAAAACAATCCTCTGTAGACCTCCTTCCAACACTAACAATCTCAGGTATCTAGAGGAAAAAAAACAGGCTGTGAATATAAGTTCTCCGTGTCTGAACTGTAGATCCTTAAATAAGACAAAGTTTTCCAAGTAGAATTACTGGTTTTAAAAATACGCTATAGTAATATATTGCTTAGAAAGGAGCAAGACTTGTGACTTTAAGAATCCTTTAAGGAATCCATGAATATATTTGTCAATAAGAATACAGCTTTCTTTCGCGTGTATACACAAACTAAAAACTGAATTAAAGATTACCATCACCAGTTGGTCATTTCTTGTAATACAATGACTTTCTTTTTCTTTTTTAAAATCTTACATTTAAAAAAAAACTTTAAAAGGTCAAAAAGAAAAGACTTAAAATTTCATGAATATGTTGCTTGCACAGGTTGGCCACCTGTAGTAATTTGTAAAATAGAAAAAGTGCTAAAGAAGTGCTCCTTGTTGTATATTTAATTGTATATAAAATTCCTGGAAGTTACAATTCTGAATTAAGGCAAAAATGGAATAGAAAATGAGGAAGCAACATACATCAGATACAAAAAAGAAAAATCTATATTTATTTGCATTTAACATGAACTCCAGGAAAGGACCTAAAACTTTTTTCTAAAAAGTAATATAGTGGGTGGCATGTTACAATTTCCAAGGAAAAATAAAGGTTAGAGGGAAAAGGTATTTGAGCCCCTACTCTTGGTTATATATGTTTTACTTACATTCTCATATTATTTTCATCTCCATTCTATGAGGCATTATCCCTAATAGTTACAACTTTTGTTGATTATGTTATAAAATACTAACTGGAAAAAAGTCCTATTTATTCACATTTCAAATTGTTGCTTCTGGTGTGAAGGCCATGTTATGAAGATTAGATTCTCTGTGGCTCCAAGGTATCAAACCCAGGAGGAAAAGCCTGAGGAGACAGATTTCGGTTTCTGCTCTAGGGAGGAGCTTCTCAGAGACAGGGCTGGTCCTTGCCGGAATAGAAAAGGGACTTCCCTGCCGCAGGGAAGATGTTTGGTCTTTGGCAGCCCCTTGTGAGGAATGTGGGTCAAGAGGATTTACAATTTGGGCAAGTTGGATTCAGTTCTTGGCTGGCCTTCATACTTTGTGACGCTAGGTGTATTCTGTAATCTTTCTGAGTTTCAGTTTGCTGTCCTGTAAAATGAACATAATTCTCACCATGCGGAGAGTACAGTAGTCCCCCTTATCTGTGATTTTACTTTCCCCAGTCCAAAAATACAGTACAGTACCATCAGATACTGAGAGGAAGAGAGACTGCATTCTAATAACTTATTACAGTATGTTGGTATAATTATACTATTATTGTTGTTAATGCCTTAACTCTTCCTAATCTATAAATTTTATTGAAGTGTGTATTTGCAGGATAAAACAATATACACAGGCTTTGGTAATAGCTATGGTTACAGGTATCCACTGCAGATAAGGGGAGAATCCTGTATTTGAAAGCACCAAGCAGTGGTGCTTGAGTGTTCCTACATTTTTCCTTTTTGAATTTTTGTCTTACTTTTGTATCACTGCACTATTCTTAATTACTAATATTGGTCCATTTTCAACTCTTGAATGGATTTTTATTTTTCCCAACATTTTATCATGAAAAATTGTAAACTTACAGAAAATTTGAGAGGACTGTACTAAGAACTCATTTATCTATCACCTAGATTTTATGGTTAAATTTACTGTTTGCTCTCTCACGTATCTTTTTTTATGTCTGTCTCTATTCATACAGTGGTCCATGTTAGTACATTTTAAAGTAAGTTACAGACATCGCTATAATAACTTCTAGACACTTCAACATACCCATAGTTAATGAAGTGTTAGTTTTTTTATGAGGTAAAATTTTTCTTTTTTTTCTTATGAGGTAAAATTTACATAGAATGAAACACATTTATCTTAAATGTACCATTCAGTGAATTTGACTAATGCACATGCTTTAGTATAATACAAATATTTACCAAGGCATAGAGTAGCAGCATCCAGGAAGATTTTCTCAAGCTCTTCCTGAAGGATTCCTGAGGATTCCTGTCTTCCTGTCTTCCTCCTTCTCCTGCACTGTTCAGATGTGTTGTTTTAACATTAAATAGCAGCTGGCTATACTTCATTATTTACCCTGTTAGTAAAAAGATTTGAGCATGCATCCCTAATATTGTGTATGTAAGGTCACTTTAAAATTTAGTGTAGGGGTGGGGATTTAGCTCATTGGTGCTGCCGCCTGCCCCGCAAGCACAAGTGCAAGGACCCAAGTTCGATCCCTGGTACCAAAAAAAAAAAACTTAGTGTACCTGTACTTTGTGCTTACTATCATATGCGTTATAAAATAGGCCCAAAAAGAAACTAAAGGGGATGGCATAAGTAATATTTAATGTTTTAAATTTTTATTGGCAAAATATAATTAACAGTAAAATTAAGTCTGTATTTCTTAAAGTCTTAACTTTTGGAGTATTTTTGCCTGCTTCTTGTGAGATTGGATTAGATAGATGGTCATAATTTTTATCTTCTAAAGAGCTTTTCTGGAATAGAAGTATTGGGTTAGACATTTTGTTGTTGCTTGCTTATAGTTATTAGTATTATCTCTGTAGATCTCTTGTTCATTTGATGAGAGAGAGTTGAATTAAATACTTCATAACATCAAAAACAAAACAAAACAAAAAAACAAAAAAGATTTAGGTTTGCCGGGGATTTAGCTCAGTGGTTCTGGCACCTGACTCATAAGCACAAGGTCCTGAATTCGATCCCCAGTACCAAATAAGTAAATAAATAAATATTTTGTAATTGTCCTCAATCAGGCACACACAAATGGTAGTAAATCACAGTAAGCCACCCTTACTGAATGAATAAACAGAACTGTCTGAATAAGGATATTAGTGTCAATTTACATATTAATATTAGTGAAATTTACTTTTTAGCTAAAAGAATAAACAAAAGCTCTTATTTTCTTCCTACAACCCCCAAAATCGTCTTGCATATCTTCTGAATATGATCACTTTGCTTATGTTATACCTCCTCTAAAAGATGATCAAACAAAAATCCTCAAAACTCTGTGCTTCAACTGAAGAGCTTTATAAAATTTTAAAACTTACATAATTATATGAGGGTTTGGGGTGTCACTCAGTGGTAGATGGGTGTCCTCATCATGCCAGAGCCTCGGTTCAATCTGCATTGTGCACATGCACACACACACACACACACACACACACTATGCTTAACTGATTAATTAGAAACTGTATATGAGAGCTCTCAAACATTGCTAGTAGAAAGTTGATATAATCACTTTAGAAATCTGGCCTCTCTACTAAAGTTAAACACACACCTACCTTGTGATCTGACAGCCTGTTCTAGGCATATACCCAAGAGAAAATGAGTGTTAGTGTCTATCAAAAGACTTGTATAAGAATCCTTGCATATAGCAGCTTTATTCAGCTGCTTTATTCATAATAGACTGGAAACAATCCAAATGTCCATCAGTAGGACAATGAATAAACAAATCTTTAGTATATTCTTACAATGGATTATTACTTGGCAATAAAAAGCATACTACTGATGCCCACAAAAATAAGGATGAGTGAAAAAAGCCAGACACAGAGAGTACATCCTGTATGATTCTATTTATATGATGTTCAAAAACAAGCAAAAGTGGTCAGTGGTGGTGAATTTGCAGTGGGCATAGGGAGTTACTGACTGGAAGGAAGCACTGGACCTGTTTTGGGATTGTTGTGGTTTTTTTGTTTTTTTGAGACAAGATCTCTTTATGCAATTCAGGCTAGCCTTAAACTCACTGTGTGATCCAGGCGGGCCTCAAATTTGTAGTGATCCTCCTGCCTCAGCCTCCCAAGTGGTGGGACTATAGGTGTGCACCACCACACCCAGCTGCACTGGAACTGTTCTGTGTCTTGATCTAGATAGTGGTTGCACAGTTGTGTACGTGAAAAGTTATCAAGCTGCACATTTAAATTATACTTTTAAGATCTAATAGTTTAAGATTCTACATGATTAGATTTTACCATTTTTAGCTTTCATTCAGGTTTTTTTTTCTTCTTCATGTCCTTAGTCCAAGTTGCATCTTTCTTTTCCCTTT